AGGCGCTGATTTAACATTTTAACAGAAGACACTAAAATTTTACACTACGTAGGGTATCTACCTGAAGATTTGAATCGGGATAAGAACTCTTCTATGCGTTCGTTAATGGTCTGAAGTTGAGTTAGTTGACTTCGCAGTGCCGTCAGTCGACTCAGTGCCAGTTCTGTTTGGCTGATTTGCAATGAACTTTCGGACTCCCGGGCCCTCAATGCAAGTTCTAGTTCCGTCTTGTCTCTCTTAAAATTCTCGACCAAGTGCACACCCTTACTAAACACTTTTGATAGCTCTCCGCAAATACCGCCTTTTCTCTCTCTGCTAAGCCCAACATATTTTCACTCTGCTTCTAGAAAAGCACGTTGATATTTGTATAAAGTAAATAATGTAGCCATGCCAAACATTGCTCTAGTTCCACTAGCTTTTCCGACAAATGTCTAATCTTATCATCTGCAATCGAATCCTGTTCTTCTTTCTGCGTCTCCTGGTTCCAAAAGCATAATACATAACGGGAAAAAGATTTACGTATTTGCTTCGCAATTCAGCAAGTTCCGAATTTAGGCTACGAATCTTAGCTTCACACTTGGTATTATTGAGCTAAGAATTTAAATGGACGTTTAAGATTTACACGAGTCTCCTTGACTTTTTCAATTAAATGTCTAGTGTTCGCGAAAAAACGTGCTGGCTCTTGAAATAGCATCACCGAATTTGTTTAATTGCGATCGAATCAACTTTGGTTGCTGATCAGATCAAAGGATTGTGTTATTTATGGGAAGACTATCAATAAAGATATCTCCTCCGACGTCAAAATTGCATCAAAAAAATTTGAGGTTTGTAACTGATGGTTAAAAGGAACACAGGGATAAGTTTTTTAACTAGTTATATTTTCCGTTTTTTAACCAAAAACGAAGAAGTTAATACAAGGAATAAGTTGCAACTCGCAGTAGCTTTTTGTGTGTAAAATGCTTAATACTTAGTGTTATTAATTAACTATTGTCCTTTGCTTCAGTCGTTGGGTCCATGGATAGACACTGACGATGTCAAAATAAACTGCCTGTTTAAAATCATAAATATTTTGTCTATTAATCATTTCTTTGCTGAACGATAAGGTCTTAGTAATTTACCAAATAAATCAGCAAAATGTTTAGTCAGGTGCATCTTAAACCATTCCAAGACTAATTTCTTGCGCATTAAATGTCTAAAGTTCAAACATCTGACTTGAGCACTACTAATTAAACACAATTATTCTAGCAAGGTCAACTGAATTGCGTAATGGAATCTCAGCAAAATACCAAAGTGACAAAAAAGTAGAATCCTGTGTCGGTGTGACAAAGTATGCAGACCCACACATCGAGCTCATTAAAAAATTGCTTTCCTCATGTTCCAGTAATCGTTTAATATGACTGGTATGCAAAATTATGTACACTTTTCAAAAAAGGTAACAAGTTTATACTGTCTTTTGTTGTATAATCTGTTATTGTTGTGGGCCCCAGCATGTAGTCTTGAACCACGTCGGGACCACTGAATTAACCTAGGCCCGATTACACTTCCCCGATGCCCGCAATGAGGAAAAAGATTGGACAGGACGTGGACGCAACCGTTTACATTAGACTCAACCACGTTTGTGTCGTTGTCATCAATTTTTATGGGATGTGAATAACCCTTGATCAAGTCGTGGTGACCAATTTGTTTCGACGCCATATGCCATAATTTTGTAGTTACTTAATTCAGTTACCACAGTGACTGATAAAAATTTACACGGCGTTTATGGGATAGGTTATCGGCATATATTCAGCCCACGCGTTGTTTTACCTTTAGAGTTTTATTTTGACCTTACTGAGGAAAAATTAAATTGAATTAACAAAAAATGCCAGCAAAAAAATTAAATTGCATTATTCCACAAAGAGGACCCATTTGGAAACCTCTTCAAAAATTGGTCAAAATCTGACAATTTTCGACTGAATTTCTAATGAACCATTATCTAAGACAAATCCTAGCAAATACGTTGCGATTCTTTGAAAAAGGCCATTGGAGATTAAAATGTAGAATAAATGGTGTGCGGTCCACCATTACATTGCTTTCAACAATGAAAAACTCTCTAATCAAATCACTGCAATCCACTTGATTGAGGACAACATTCAAAGGTGAATTCTAATTCATTTTTCCTGATACTATTTATTCTAATGAGATCGTGAACCTGTGTTTCTAAAGCATAGAATTACCATTGGACACACATTAATAGGCTATCCTTTCTACTTTACCTATTTTCATATAATTTAAATGTCAGAGTTAAGACAAAAACTGTATTTTAAGAAACAGCAACTAACTATGGGATTGCATAAATCAAAACTACGCTTAATAATAATTAACAAGCTGATCATTAGTTGTGCAGTTTCATGGAGATAAATCACAAACAGAGCTCGTTTGTAATAAAAATTGACATCGTTTCTTCCAATAACTAAGTCTTCTTTATATTAAGTTATTCGTGAATTAGAACGTCAACAGCGACTCCATTTCAATAGGCAAAAATAAATTTTTTTAATGACAGCTATTTAAAATGCATTTGGAAGCAATGCGAAATATAGCTTGAGTTGTTCGTTTTGTGACAATCTCTTCTGCAATTGTTATAAAATTTCCCAGTTGACCTGCATGAACGGATGCATTTAAATGTCTCTTTTTTGAATGTTCTGCAAAATGCACCTTCTTTTTAACGCACAACTTTAAATTACATTGACTATAAACTATGCAAATTAATTTGGTTACTTTTTTATTAAGGAATATTATTTACAAAACTAAAATGATTGCACTATAGGTGTGTGTCAGTGTCCGATATATTTATGTCCAACGCATTTATGGGTACAGCTAACTTCAAATTTAACGAATTTTAACTTAGCCTTTTAAGAATATGTATAACTTAAAGTAAAAGTATATCAATAACGCGTTTTAAGGAAACATACATATTTTTAAACTTTCAACTTTTTGTAAGTTCAGCCTCAGTGTTATCTTTTAGTTAGTAATCCATTCCGTAATGTGCCTACCAAGCAGCTACCAAGAGCAGATATTTACCAACGGACTTTCCTTCAAAAAAAGCCGCATCATCAATTTGACTATCAACAATACATCACAAAATAAGATTTTAGAGAACGTGGTATTTTACTATGATACCCTTAATAAGGCAGGAGTTTAATATAAATAAATAATGCGAATGGCAGTAGAGGTAACCATAACCAAGCCACAGACCCATAGGCATATTTTGAAGTAAAGAGATGTAGAAGGACGACTGCTGGATAGTGGGAAAATGCAATTGACAAAGAGCAGTCTAGGATGACTTGCCTTACGTAAATGGCGCTCTTCATATTTTTTAACTCTTCCACCGACCAGGAACCTGAAAGGGGAGGATACAACCGATTTATCACCTAATAAAATCCACATTATTAAAGTTGACTACTAAACACGCAACAGATAAAAGGCGTAGAAGGAACAAGGTTTATTTAAAACTACCATGTAAAAAAGAAAAAAGACCATGAAATCAGAAAAAAAGTTGTGGAAAGAGAAAGAAAGATCGGGCCGTACGAGTGATCCGGGTTCTACGCAGGCCCGTAGGTGCATTTGAAGCTGAGAGATGCGACTTATGGAAAGTTTAGATCCTGAATGACTAAATAAGCCTGGCTTGTGTCGATGTACTTTTTATCGAAATCAACACTGTCTTCAGGGCACATCGTTCGGTAAGGAGAATCGGAGCCCTTAGAGTACTCGGGAGATTGATGTCTGCAATGACTTTATGGACAGTGATTTGTGGTTAGAAAAGAGGGGCCATTAGTAGTTAATGTATTGGTAGTTGTAGATAAAATTTTCAGAATGGGATCATTGTGTATATTCGTTGGAGGAATATTGCGTGCCTTTGGCGCGCTTTGAAATCTGGCTTGGATGGCTCTTTAATATTTCTCAACAAAGAGGCCGAAATTATAATTTAAGGATTTTTTAGGATCGGAAAGAGATACATACCATGATAGTTGCTGCTAAAGAACTTCTAAATAGATTGTAATATATAAGGACGAATTTATGACAAATAAGAAGTAGGAAGTGAGATCGAGGACTGGTACATGGTAAGAATGAAAATATCAGATTATTTCTGCCACAAAATTTTGGCGTTAGAGCAAGAATATTATCTAGAGGAAATATGAAACAAACATAATCAGCATCCTTTAAGCCCTCGCCCTATGCACAACGGGTTAACCATGGAGGCGAGGAAGGAGAGAATCGGAGTTCTGAAAAGCTATATTCTAACGACATTTACATGGAATATAGGGTGGGAACCCCCAAAAAAACGATTATGTAAGTTATACATTATCCAATGTTTAATAAAGCATTTGAGCTATACAATGTTATGAACAAAGAAAGTAGTTGCCAAGATGATCGTATTTTAAGCGATTCTGTGACATCTGTTTATCCCATAAGCCGAGCCAAATCAACTGATAATTTGGCCCATAACATGCCATGCGTCAATAAAAGGCAGTTCATTAATTTTCTCAATTATGAGACACTGATGAAAAGCATCACTGAGAAGTATATGTTAACTATGGTAAACTATTGAGACGCAAGTCAATCGATTTGTCTCAGGACATGGCCATATTTACGGTGATTAAACCATGTATTGGTAATTGATATTCCAAAATGTATTAATTTCTCTTGTCACTGCACCTAAATTAGCTTTCGTTTTATTTATTTTGATATTGGACAAAGAGTATTTCAATGTAAAATTAGACTTGCAATGGCGATAAATACTGTAGATCATAGTGGTACGTGAAGTGCTGATACTGCATTTTGATTTGTTGTTCGTATTTACTTTTAATTTTAGCCATTCTTCGGTGTTAGTACACTTCTTTTCTGACATTTTTTTTGCTCCGAGAAAAGCTTGCAAAATCTGAACACTTAGCACCACGAGATGCTTCATTAGTCCACCATCAACCTTGAAAAATATTTACCGTTTTGACTTTGTGTGTAAGATGACTGTAGGTTCATCTGGAAATCAAATTGTTCCGAATGAGGAGGTTGTGGATTTGCAACCAATATTGAAGGATATTCATGCTGACTTTGATCCTATAGATGCCGAGGATTTTGACGTTGTATCCTATATTAATGAGGTTTGTGTAATAGTACGTTTTTATTGTTCGAATTAGTTGTTTCCTTCTGAGCAATCATTATCTGCGATTGATGACATAATAACTAGTATCAGTGAAAAAATAGACAGTATTGATGATCAAACTCGTCAAATTATTAGGGGACAGTGGAAACTCGAGGAGCAAGGTGAAAAAAATGTTGCCGAGGCGTCGGAACTCATACAGTCATTGTTTTCCAAGTAAGAGCCAATTTTGATTACTACCATACTTAATTACATTCCACTGAGTTTTATTACGGTAATAATGTAGTTGGTTTATGTTACTGCGTTCCTTCAGGGCAGTACCTATGTAGCACATCTATTAAATCTAGGAATGGTTAATTGTAAATTAAACAGCAATAGAAAAATATCGTGGTAAACTACGTTATCATTAATGATTTTCATCGTAGATTTTTTAATTTTTAGGATTCGGGAAGTTCAAGAACGTGCAACGTCTTCTGAGCTTATGGTTGCTGAAATAACTAAAGATATTCAGCAGCTTGATCTTGCGAAGAGGAATCTTACTGTTTCCATTACTACCCTTAATAATCTTGCCCTTATTGTTGGCGATGTGGACCATCTAAATGCAACTCTGTGCATCAACACTCATGCCCCAATAAAAAATGACTCGAAAAATCCATTCAGTGCGGGTGAGTTCTTGGATTACCGCTAATAGATAAGACCCGGGTCGGCTACCCAAAAGCTTCCTTTAGACACTACTCCAAAAGTTTTGGAGTCTGCTCAAATCGAGGATCATCTAGCACGTGCCCAACGTCTTATGGAACCCATGTTTGCTGCGTATTCAACTGTACCTGCCATTTTGGAATTGAATACTGAACTCAAAAATGTCTGCTCAACCATTAATTCCCGACTCTCCATTGAGATGCGTGAGCTTCTTACGGTGTGTTTTCCTGATTATCTATGAGCCTTTTAACTGGCTTAACATCAGTTATCGTTCTTTTTATGCACATATTAAATTCCCACAAGACAGCCAAAATGTGTATTTGGACTAATATTCCAGTCATTTAACTGTGTGTACTGTTCATGCGCTTTAAATTTTCAATGGAAACTATTTGCAATACAACCTGGTTGATTTTTGACATTAATAAACTTTTTTTCGGTTTTATCAGAGCCCTTCCGCTCGCATATTGACTGAGCATGCACCCAAAATCCTTGCTGGTTGTCGTCTGTTGGATCTTTTACCAACGGACACTATGAAAATGGAAATTCTCAACTGGTTTATTACTCAACAGCTTACCGAGTATCGTGAGCTGTACGAACCGTCACAGGCAATTGCTTGGCTTGACAAAATTGATCATCGATATGCTTGGTTGCGGACGAACGTGACCCCGTTGGAACGAAAAATAAGGACCTTATTTCCACAAGACTGGCTTGTTCTTGAAAGGTACAACATTCCTCATAAGATACAGCACTAGATAAATTGTTTTCTTCGTCATTCTCTTTTTACTAGGTTGATTATTGAGTTCTGTCGTATAACGCGGAATGACCTAGAGGTTGTTATGCAACGCAGACGCACGGAAATAACTCATAATCTTCTAATATTTGCTATGCAACGCACAATTGCCTTTGAGAACAGTCTTTCGAAAGTAGCGACTGGTGCTACCTTGGTAGTTGAAAAGAAGAAAGTTATGAAAGGAAATAACGAGAAAAAATTGGCTGAGGTGAATGACGCCAAAACCATGTCCAGTAATCCGTTTGGCGAAGAGGAAGAAGCAGAAGGGGAAGGTTAGTCAGTACTTGTGGAAGTAATACTATTTAAATGGAATCGAGTATCCATATTTACATATTCACAAACCGTTAATAAGCTTAACAAGAGCAATCTTCAGAGCCTTTAATGACTATCTGTGTCCTGTGGATTCATAATGTCATGAATCCCAAAAGGTTATAACCAGATAGGTAAAAGGAATCTACTTAGGTGTCAGTAAACTGGTGCCGCTAGAAAAATTAAGGGCTGTGTTCGTAAACTGAACCTTTGAGATCCTGAAGATATTGTCGATCATCCTAAAGATAGGGGCTTCTTGTTAGGGTCTCAAGGAACGATACTCCTGATGATTGTAATACCGAGGTTTTCTCGATTTCATTTTTGGTTACTTTCTGCTTACGCATAATGCCTTATGGTAGCCTTACCTCGTTGACGTCGAAATAGAAGTGACATGCTAAACCTGGTGACCACCTACGCGATCCCATTCTCACTACGTCTCAATGTCCGAACCCTTTTGTCAAAGCAATTCGAATATTTGCAGCCAAAACAAAAACCTTTGCCGATATTGCTTTTTATGACCCTACTCTTTATCGTGTCCAGTTAGATCAAATACGTAATTTATATCTTTTGGACATTTTGCTAGTTTTTCTGCGTGTTTTCCTTTTATCATTTTAGCGCCCATATACGTGCTCTATGATTCACACAGAAGGCTCAACTTGTTTAGTTTAATTTTGTATATGGATTTGTCCAACGTTTCAGTCGCTTCGCTATTGTAAAAAAAATACTAGCTAAATTTTATCCTTCAAGTGTAGCATTTCCTTTTAGAAATTAATTTAACTACTTGTTGTCATTTTTCATGTGTTTGTAACAATTTTCCAGCAAGCGGTTTAATGCTGTTACTTTTAGTCTATTGTTTTTTCAGGAAAGAGTAGTTCCCACGATCAGGTTCAGCAGCAAAATTTGTCGCCTTTTGAGGGGATTATTTCCAGGTACTTTAGTATCTCCTTACAAGCAGTCTACTTTTATCCGGCATTGTAGCTGCATTTTTGCCTTTCAGTTGCTTCTTCCCATACTTCGATCTATATTTGAACAATGTTGAACGGGCACTCAATGATCAGCTGACCACCCGACTAATCGGTGACTATAGAGTAAACAAGTCGAGTCTAAAAAGTCGAGCCTTTGGTGATGCATTCCGAGAGGGCAGTAGTAAGTCAGTATTGTCATTATTTGTCTTTACCTATGGCGAATTTTCACCGATCGGAATATTTTTAGCGCTAACTCTTACTACCAAATTGTAAGTAAAAATGTGATTTTGTTTATTCTAGCCTCGGCAGTTCCCACCAGCGGTGATCTGGCAGAGAATACGCTTTACTCGGCCACTGACCTGTTTCTGCTCTACAAACAGCTTCTCAAGCAGACACTTCAGTTGACACGAGGCCAAGGTCTGTTGGGATTGGTGGGATTGCTTCGCAAATACCTCAGCGAATACACTGTGAAGGTGCTGTTACCCGGCATACCTGGACTAACCACAGCATCTTCCTCTGGTGGTCTTGCAAAACCTTTTAGTCTCAACAACTTCGCGTCATTGGGTTGGTTTCTGTGCAATTTAGAGTTTTTGTGATCACAATTGCACCATTGTAAGTCAACGTTGTCATGTGTACAGTCAACCAACTGTTGCAATCTTGCATTTTCAACGATTTCGGAATAAGACATGTGGAGGCGATCGTAGGGTTGACGTTACATATCCCATTCAGCTTTATAATCACTCACCGAATCCGAAGTTTTCCGTTTACTTCGATCGTCATGCTCCCAAATTCACGGATCTCTTTGTAAGGCCCGTCATCCAGGTGACTACACCGGAAATGTTTCTGGCCCCAAACAAAAAAAACCATTCTATATTGTTACTGGGCGAGAATAGCATCCCACCTTTTGATGAAACGCTACGAACGAATTCCGTTTAATTCTGTTCCAATTCGGTACTTGTATGAGGATGTCCAGAAACTCAAAGAGTGTTTGTGTGGTTCTTTCACTCATGGTTGGCATCATGAGCCAGTTGATGCCTACATAACTGGGTTAGTAACATTCAGCAAAGGTAGAGGCGTGAGGGCGGTGTTTGGCATTAAATAATTCAAAGGTGTTTAACGCTTTTAGAGACCTATATGAGGAAACTAAATCAATGGGCGTTTGAGGTCATCCCTTTTGATATGGTCTCTTGGTATTCTAACTCCTTAGTTTCTGCTTGACTCTAGTTACGGTCCATTTTGGGCTGATCGAATTTTTAAGATACAAAAAATTGTTAGATAAATGTCAATTTCCGCCATTACTCCTTCATGCGATCCGCGCTGTTGCTGTAGTCCGATATTCATACTTAGTAGGCGACACAAAAGCGTCTTTCGCGTAAAAGCTTACCCCTTAAATCCTGCATCGGAATGTGGCCTTACCTTAAAGCTATCGCTGCATCTCAGTATCCAGAGTCGTTGCTTCTGGTTTCTGAATCGTTTGGGTTCTGTGATGCTTCTGGCACGACTCCTATTGGTCTTTTAGGTGTAATCAGGAATACTGATAAGGTTTTTCTACTCATCTGTTGTTAGGCACCATAAATTAATGTTCTAGTTTATCCGGAGCTCCAAACTGTCTAATTTTGTTTTTAGATAGTTAAAAGTACTGAAAGGGTTCTGGAAGTTTTCTGTCTCGCTAAACTGGGGGTTTGTTATTTCAGTAATACCACTGCATTCCACAGTTAGGCTGATCAGGTGGTATCAGTAACGTTGGAATGCAGCCTCTGAAAGCTAAGTCATCATTCCCGTTTTGCTTTGAAAATGCATGGTTATTTCGGATCGTACAACGATTTGGTCCTTGACCTCATTTCGAAACGAAATCCCAAGCATGTTTTGCTCTTTTATGACCACCTTGTTACACACAGACGGCAATCTCCAATTTATTAGAATTAATAAATCTAGCATTCCGACTGCCAACCTTAGTCGTACTTTGTCTCAATAGTGCGTAATCCGCTCATGCTGATCTGAATCAGACCTCAAGGACAGTAAATGCACCTAGCGATCTAATGGATCTCCAAATTTCAACTCATGCCATCTTCCACCTCTCTCCATTTGGTTTTTAGATCGATTGAAGTCAGTACCCATTTTGCTAGTTTCGATGCGTAGTGTTCTGTGGGCGAATGTAATTTATTTTGCTGTAAAGCCAACATAATTCGATTTGGCTAGCACGACTCGTTCGCCTCCCTCTTGTTTAAACTGGAACACACGCATGGCAAATAGGCATCATCGCCCTACACGGCTCCTTGGCATATGCAACTTAATTTTAATGCCGGAAACAGTGATTGTATCATATGTAAGCTACCACAGCCCTATTTATGTGTGTTAGTGGCATCGGTGAAACAGGGTAGATTTAATAAGCTCAAATAGTCATGTTGAAGCGCGCGCTAAAATGTGTCCTACTACGGGCGTTTATCGTGGAAGGTATTAAACCAAACAGGGTACTAATGCAACGATGTTGGCTCGAAACGTTTCGTGTTTGTTAAGCGATGAAGCATATCTCTGACTTCTGTTTGCTTAAGGGTCCGCTTCGTTTAGAAACTTGTTCTTGAAAATCGGGACACTACTAATGTAGACGCTTTAAGGCATCAAACTGACTAGTAGTACAATTTGTTGTCAATGTTTTTTTTTAAATTCAAAGATTTCTTTGACAAAGTTGGCATCTGATATTATTAAATTACCATTAATATTACTACTAGGATTATGGCAGAGGCCATTGCAAGTCTATGTTGGTTTAAAAAATTGAAGCTTCCTTCTTGCGCGAATTGAAACCTGCGCCGTATTCGTTTTAGTTTTGCCGAACGTCGTTGTTTTCACTGTAAATGGAAAACAGACTTTCCTGTAACAATCGAGAAAATTATAAGATAGTTTTTTTTTACTTTTGCCGTTTATCGAGAGATCTAGTGGTTTCTTCGATTGAAAATTTTCGGGTTGATTGTGCCTTCTCATCGATTTTAAAATTGATTCCAGTGGAGCTAATGTCTCCATTTTGTCGCCATCATCGATGAGGCAATTCACACATTGACTAGACACCGTTCCTTCGTCTTGCTCTTAATCGGAAGGCATGTTAAGTCCCAAACATGTGCCAACATTAGGATAAATATGGTTTACAGGCTGTTACGTCGTATTCCAAAAAGTGACGCTCGTAACTATGGAAAACATGTCTGTGGCTTGAAACAATGGTGGGTTTTTGTTCATAGCCGCTTTTTATTACCTTTAAATTTGTTCTGTCCACGTAATTTACCTATTTTCCATCACGAAAGACAAAACGTTACTCGTAGTGAGGTTTTTTGTTTTATCGAAGAAGTACCGGATTTGTGGATCATCAGTCCCACGACTATAAGGTTCATGGAAGTTTGACACGATACGCATTTGACATCTTTGTACTTCTTTTGCCAATCAAAGAACAGTCGTTATTATCGAGTTTCTAAACTGCCCAGTGCTTCTTACTCCCTCTAATATATAACGCACATCTGTCAGCATTTTCAATCCCGACCCAGTGGGCTAATTCTCAATTTCCAACCGTTGTAACTTTTGCATTTTCGTGCTTGAAGCTCTGAACCAGGATGAGGGCTCGGCAAGCAAGAAGGAAGGCTTGGGTTTCTCAGCCAGCGGCCTTTCCAATCAGTTGTTCTCGAATCTCCTTCGCGACGAGCAGGTGTGTGTTGTGTGTTCTTATTGTTATGCCTCTATCTGGCTCTAAGCTTATTAGCTGCAATAATCTGTCTGGACTTCCGACCCAGTGAACATTCGCCGTTATGCTGCCGGAGAGTAAAGTACCGGAATGAGTAGGTCCATGCTGGCTAAGCGTTTGCGGTGATAGGGGCAAAACTTGTTAAAAAATAAACACTCAGCCAATTCCACTTTAAATTCTTTTAAGCGTTTGAGTAAATTTGAAGTAGGTTCTAGCGCTTCGCGACAACTTATGCCTGAAAACACGGTCCGTGTTATTCACTTTTCAGGTATTTTGTTGCATTGAGCCGTAGCTCTTGGTCTAATTTGATTAACTTGAGTTAATTTCACTAATTGGTGTTTTTTCATAAAGTCAACTAAAATCCCTGGCAATTAAATTTACTTATGAAATACAGATTAACTCTTTTAAAAAATGCATTTCCTGAGTTAGCGTGGGATCGAAGTGAACGATAAGTCGGATTTCGCTATCTGGTTTTACTTCCAATGGGATCGCAGAAATGTGAGATGAAAAGTTTGGCCTTCATTTTTTGATAGGCCCTGTTTTTGTCTTCACACTGTCGTGAGACGCAACAGTCACTTCGTTGTTTCTTATAACACTTGGTATTACATCTGCGTGAGGAAATTGTAGTATCTACACTTCCCCTAGCAGCCGATATTACCATCAAATCGGACCTAAACTGTCAATTTAAAAGGAGATATTGGGGAATGTTAATAAGTGATTAGGTTTTGTTGGGGCTTTCGTGTTTAGGCTTTCTTCTTCTTTTTCTGTTAGCCTTTGCGACTATCTAACGATGAGATTATTCGTGTGAGTGTGATTCTCGTGACCGCTACGTACTGCATGAAGACAGTAGAAGAATTGGAGAGACGTCTAAAGGCAGAGGTGAGTCCATTTTTACAAGCGACTCATTTTCAGCTGTTGTGATTGGCTAATGACTGCTCAACTTATCTGAAGTTGTTGTAGTTGTGATGTATCTGTGACCTAATTTTGCTGCTTATATTGGATGCGGTGGAACTCTTAAAATGCTTCCCACAGTTTCTTCCAATGGAGGCGATAAAGTTAATCTGACAGCTTGGAAGCATTAGCATTGCTAGCATACACGATGAACTCATCATATGACGAACACTTTAGACCGAGTGAAACTCACACTAATTTGGCATTTCTCTGTTGCTAAAATTAAAATTATTCGGTTGGGTAAAAATTATTTCGGCTTTTGCAAATGGCTATGCCCATTTTTGAAGATTTCCATGTGTTTTGAAGTGTTCCTTTTGATATTTTGGTAGATACTTTGGAAGCAAATTTCGAGTGATTCTGTTTTCTGCATTTCAACCCCATTTTAACTTTTAATACAAAAACGATCACTTTTGACACATTTTACTTTGTTTTTTCCCGTGAAGGCAAAAAATGCTGCACTTAGCTTTGTGTAACTGTAGGAGGTGTTGTAGGTAACAACGGAAGGCGTCTTGACCTCGTTGAAAAGCTTGCATTGAAGAAAATCTGCTCGATGGAATCGAAAAATCCCCGTCAAATCGTACACTTTCTGAAAAGAGTCGTTTCTTGTGCTGATAAGCTTGTAACGTATGTCTTTTAATGAAGGCGTTCACTGTTCCAGGCTTTGCGAAACAGCACAAGTAACATCAGGGCCTGATTAGCATTACAGAAGGCAATGCTGGGAATTTGGTTAGGTGACAAGAATGTCGTGTATGTAGGCCTGCTCGACGTCAAATCATTTGCTGTCATGTGAAGGCAAAACGCAGTACTTTTAATTACTCCTCTGCTTTGAAGAATAAAATTTTCTGCTCCGAACTTTATTAACTCCTAAGGCCGTCGTAAGTCTAATTTGCTTCCTTACAAATTGTGGCAATTAATAGATGGGAATAAAGATATCTTAAGTTATCGAAAGTTTGTATTAAAGCCCCTTTCTTAAAAAGCAACTAGTCGAAATTGATTCTATAAGTATGATACTTAAAACATTTTATTCGGTGATCCTTTTCCTTAAGCAGCCTCAAAATTTTTAAAATCGAGTTCTCACATCACAAAACCGAAATTGCATTGCTTCCATGCCACTAGTTAAATTGCAAAGCTCTAGTGAATGGCTCGTCTGCCCTAATAGCATGTGCGTAGTGGTCATGTTTACTGCTTGTTTGATTATAATCTCGATATAAATTGGTTAATCTAATAAGGTGACTAGTCAAACTCCACTAGTCAACCAACTTGTGAAATTTAATACCTCGGAATCACGTGGCGCGATGATTGGTCTGTTGATCCCCACTTTCCGAAAGTTCAACTTGATTTTTTTGTGGGATCAATGTTGCGCAGCATACTGCTGTTCGGAAAGATACGATTTCCGACGTCGTCCCCCTATGAGTCTGCTGCGAGTAACGCACAAGTAGAGCAAGTACCCCTATCACTCAGCCCATCCATTTATCGTAGTAGATTTACTCTGCATTGGCGATCAGGTGCTGGGTAGGCATGACTAAAAATCTCGAAGCACTTCTAATTTTTAAAGTGCGGATTTTGTTCACGGAAGCATCGGAAGCGTGTAATCAATCTATCATTTTGTACACTTAATGGGTGGTCCTAAGGAGGAGAGTGACTACTCAGCAGGACAAACAGTTGACATTTTGTGATGGAATGGGTGGTTTCCTCGAAGCATTTGAGGTGTGGGGATGGGTGCGGCATCCTACTTTGTATCAGATTTCAACCTAAGACCAGATTTATAATCACTTCTGAAAGTGTGTACACGTTAACCTGCGACATTGCTACACCTATCGTGCGTGGTATTTTTCGCTTGCCGTTCCTCATTAATGGAAATAACTATTCTGCTGAAAGTCAGAAAAGATCTACATAGAAGATTTGCCCCCATGTCTTAGTAGATGTCGTAGAATAGCCGGATATTGAATATGACAGTAAAAATACACTTTAAGGAAAAGCTTTTAGTCCAAAGCGCCACGCAACGTAAGCGGATGTAAATTAAAACTTGTGTTCTTGCAAATCATATAAACAGCAAACGACCTAATTTTCTAATATTACTTTTATTCACTTGAAACCGAAAGTCCGTTTTTTTATAATTTCTCATTAGCGGTCACCATGAAACGATGGTGGGTGGGTGTATCTGTATCCACTTTTGTGTATTCAAATTCTTTTGGATATTCAATCAGGGATGTTATCATTTACTATTCGTCAGACGAATCCATTAGTAGTTCGTTTAATGTTACCTCTACCACCGTGTATTTTGACTTGTTCGAGCCGAAGATAGGGTAAATTTAGCCCCACGTATTCACCTTTTACTTACTGGGATGCTTTCCCGTTTCATTTCGTTGTCAGGAGGCCTTTAAACAGTTTGGCTTGCTTTCGCCAGGCCCCCTCCTCATCACCCCAATGCCACTGGCTCGCTTATTTGCGCATTCAATCATTGAAAATTGAGGGAGGCAGTCCCTCGTGTCTAGCACACCTGCAGGCCGTCTGATGATTAACGTGTCCTAGTAGTCGACTAATCAGTCTTGATTTATTAATGAAATATGTCGAGAGTTTTTGTGTCAATGGATAGTTATTTACCAATGAGTCCTACTCGAACAACTGTCACTGCTTTAAATATGTTGCTCGCGAATATTGGCTCCCTGAACCAATAGTCAGTTATTTTACTTTTTTTTGAAATTATGTTTTTTAATAGTTGTTTCGCGGTATTCAAAAAGTTTGGTAAAAAGGATGGTAAAACGTGACCAATTGATTTCCTATTCACGAAAGCTTAAGGACCTATGACCATCGTCTAGAGTAAAAGTTGTGCTTCGATACCCACCAAATCAAATCAATGCCTAACGGTCTACAATTATAAGGCATTTTTTATCTGCCCTGCTAACAAGCATGTTTTCCACTCTCTTTTTACGTTACCTTGTTAGGTTAAGTGTACTTGACGGGTTTGCGGCAGAAAAGCGGGCAATGTATTTGCTTGGCTTCATCGTTTGCATTTTTGTCTTTATGAAAGCTTACTGCCACCTAAGCATAGCAATATCTAGCTTACATATTTCATTTTCTCCCTTTGGTTTGTTGTACTTTTCCGTGATTGAGTTTATTGGTGCATATTTTTTTACAAAAAGTACACTCGCCTAACCTTTCCGCAATGCGGTTTGTTACTTTGGCCACTCCAAGGCTAACGCGTTTGTTCTGTTGGCTCGTTTTTGCCTAGATTCGGCCACCGTCGCTGGCAGGAGAGATAAGCTTTGCGGCAGAAGTCACCGCCCTCACTGATTGTCGATCTGCTTGCGTCCATCGGCTTGTTGCTGATTTGGAGGCCTCGGTGGTCCCCCAGCTGACGGCCATGACGCGAATGCCGTGGGGCAGTCTCGCCGCTGTTGGCGATCAGTCTGCCTACGTCACCGCAATCATAAGCCACCTTAAGTCTCAAGTTCCCATTATCCGAGACACCCTCTTCTCTGTCAGGTAAACTTCCACATCTATTTGTCACGCGTCTCTAATGCAGGCCGTTGCAAAATCCGTTTCCTTTTTTGCCTCTCTAGGGCCCACTTCACCCAAATTTGCATCAAGTTTGCTGACTCGATTATCAGTCGCTTTGTGGCGTCCCTCTACCGGTGTAAACCCCTGAACACATTTGGGGCAGAGCAACTTCTTTTGGACACTCAGTGCTTTAAATCTGCCCTACTCCAGTTACCACTGTTTGGAACAAAGGTAATGAAGTCCCAGTGTCACTTTTTGTTGACAATTTCTTGTTTCCTGATTTTGTCTGCTTCCGCCGTTCCGCAGTTTACTTTTTACTGCTTGTTAGGTAATGGGAACTAAAAAAAATTAAGTTTGCAGTCGAACTCATCGATGCTGTAAAATGTCTAAGCACTTTGTCCGGAGATGCCTTGTAGTTAAATTTCGTGGCCTTATTGGAAATGTGGGTGTCGTGTCGTTTATTTTCACCATAAGGATGTCTTAAGTTATAGCAGTTGTGGGTTGTATGCGGCGTTTGTAGTGCATCCTTAAGTAGGAACCAATTAGAATGCTGATTGCAGTGCATCCTACTAACAATATAACTTAATTTTAGAACCACAAGCAAATTTATAATCTCGGCCAGTTATTTGTATTTTAGGTTAGGCTTTGTTGGCACTATGATTTTGGTTAAAGGATTCGTGTTTACAGCCACGGAAACTGCCGCGTTTACTCTACTGCCAAAACCATTTTAAGAGGATGCGTGACGTCACGCATTTATGCGTGCACTTTTTGTACAAATTTTCCATTGCTTGCTCGTCGAATTATGTTGATCCTGCTTCGTGCAGTGGGATAGAGGGAAAATGTGTCACCATGGTGGTTGCGGCTGTGGTAGTGATACTTTTAGTATCACGTGCACACCCAATGCCTTTTGCAATAACCCAAAACTTTTACGATGAATTTTTTTGTGAATAGCCTAGAAACGTGTCCTCACTAACCGAACGACGTCGTTTAAATTGGTCCCTTTGACCTTGCTGTCGGTTGGTTTATTCTTTAATGTTTCTCTTTTCCCTACCACGAAATGCCGCGTTAAACAGTTTTGTTAAAGTACGAGTCACAACTAGACTGTGCGTCTTCTATAATTTTATTTTCCTAAATGTAACTAGTATACACGAGAAATACATTGAAAGTCTAATTTTTTTAGTTTAAGCTTATGCAAAACAATTGTACTGACAGGAAATTCTGTATTTCCTTAAGACAACTTTAACACATTTGAATAACTGCTCATATTGCTTGGGGCATAAGAAAATGTCTGTGCGCGCTCTTTAGCTTTACTTAAATGTGCGTCTTTCGGAATGGGCTGTTCTCTTCCGTTAGGCATGGGCCATGCTCGGTTTTGACATTCCCTCCCCCTCTCAAATATTTCGCTCCAATCTTTAACGTATTTACTCTGTCATGCGATTAGTCTGCCAGAAGACGCCTCTATTTTCTCCACTTTTCAATTGAGCACTTCGCTTTTTTTCCCAAAATGCTTCACAGCCAACCTACGGAAATTTTAGGCCCGAGTTCTGACGTGTGGAGATATAGGTGCCTGCCGATTCTCCATTTTTGTCAACACTGTCTAAGCTGCATTTTCAAACAACTATGTATGTAAAATCGACTTCATTCAGGCGTATCACTTTGGTTATTTTCCTGAGCCCAGACCTATTTGCAAATTGCAGTGGTCACTTGTCACAATACTCTCAGCGTGTATGATTGAGTCCATACTTAACGCGTGTTTGCCTCATTTCATTGGCATACATTTCACTTTGACCTCCGATGAGGAGTTATCCTTGTCTACCTGGTGTAGACGTGTATTGTATTTACCACTGAAGCACTTTAGAAACCCTCACTTTGGTTTTAAAGTGCGTATTTTAAACGGCCATGGGGTCTCCGAACTATTTTTCGAACCCTTTTCCTACTCGTCTCCTAAACACACTTCCGTGCGCTTTGACTTGGAGTGTACGACAACTAACCCTTTTTGTAGTATTTCATTTAACTTATAAACCGGGTTTGAAAACATCGGAATTATTAACCGTTGGCTCTAAAATTTTTAATGCTCGTGTTTTGCAGACAACAACAGTTAAGGATGTGTTGTGGGCCCACAATTTCTTTTTGCAAAATTATCTGTTATTGTTCTTGTAATTAGCCTAAAATGACCCCTCGTTTGTGCTGACCATTTGGTTAGGCTATTAGTTTATTCGCATAACGCGGTGGAACTCAAAACATTAGGTCTATGCACCTCTTCTTATTAACTATCAGTGGCTTTACAAAATAATGCAATCGATATTCTGTGTTGGTGTTTATACCTCGTAAGTTTCAAACGCCTCGGCTTTTAATGGATGGCCGAACTGAATTTTTGATAACGGGATTGTCTGCTTCTTCCGTGTTGCTTGCCGAAGTATTAACCCGACGTCAGTTCCATTAAATACGAAGCTGTCTAGCATTGGGGAACTTTAGTGTCATTTACATTTCAGCCCGATGTCTGTTAAAGGGAACACCTAAATTCTGGAACCTACGAGATACATTTTAAAAAAAACAGTAAAAATAAAGACAACCTACTTTTTATTTATTTGTGACTTGCACTTCTTGAGCTACAGTTAATCTTTTCATCTGAAAAATGCATTGGTCACTGTGTTTGCCACTGCAAGTGTTACTTCGTCATTAACAAAACAAGCTTCGGATTCAGCGCCATTTTTAAAATAAATCGTATAGAAAAATAGAGGTGCACTCAGAATTTGAAACCTTAAACAATCACAATTCTACACTCAGACCACTTGCTTACATATTTGTCGCGTAAATCTATCCTCGAAGTTATGTGGTAGTCGAAGTAGGGCTTTTTAAGACGTAGCAAGCGTCCCGACATTCAGTAGTCTATTGCGAAGTTTGTTAAATCGTACCGAGTTGTCAAGGAAGCACTGACTAAAGTGTTAACTAACTCAAAAGAACTTTTTTTGGTTTGCAGAATATAATCATGCTTTTCGTTCCTCAGGAGTGTGTTGTTAATTTCTAGAAAACGTATTTATGATGGCACTAGGGCTATTTGACACAAACCGCGGAAAGGCAATCACTGCCATCCACAATTCTTGTATGGCCTAGAAATACCACTTGGTCGGTTCCTGGTCAAGGGATTTGGTATTGTGAAGCACCATCCGAAGAGTACGTAGAGCCGGATGACGACCGGAGTCGTCAGTTGTGAAGAAAGTCGACTGCTTTGTGCTCATTTGCAACACCACCTAGCCGGCCATGTGCAAACTTACATAACGGTGGTTCGCCTCACTGAATGGCCATCCAATCCACTGGAGTCTGAAGTTGCCTAAATGCACCCTCCTGCCTAGCGGATTCATTGAAGCACTTTCGCCTGCACTTTACTCCCCAGGCATATCTGAAAAACCTTACCTGACTCTTGGAAAAAAGAAAAAATGCCCTCTGAATTCGCGTATTTGGTAACCTGGGCAAGCGAACCCAATGTTTCGGTCGCTTTTGCCACTGGCGAAAAGATAATTTTTCGGACCCTACAATTTTAGCCACTTTAATGGGCTCCAGCTGCGTGGCACTCCTCGTTAAAACTATTTTATATATGTAATATTCAGGATGCATGCGATACTAGTCAGAAACGCGTTTTCGTTCCCATCGTTGTCCTTTAACTCCCTAAAACGGATAAATCTAGCTACGCTGAAGAATTTTTTATCTTTCCTCTGACAAATCCGTTAGTTGTTCAAAGG